GTGTGTGTGTGTGTGTGTGTGTGTGGGAGGGTGTTGTAAACCCTGTGGCACAGCCTAAGATTTTATCTTTAATGGCCTTTTTTATAGTGTTCATTACTTTTACTTTTATACTTTAAGTAGTTTTAAAACTAGTACTTTTATACTTTTACTTGAGTAAAAAGCTCGAGTTTATACTTCTACTTCCAAAAAAGTATTTTTAAACCCTAGTACACTTCTATTTAAGTAATGAATGTGAATACTTTTGACACCTCTGGAAAGGTTAAAAAGGTGTATTTCACCCTTTCTAAACAAGGGCAGATTTAATCATCTTGGTTACCGAACTTGTTCATTCTTGAAACAAAACTTGTCTTTTGTCCCTCCTTGTCTTCACTTGCCTCTGTCCTTCCTGAAAATCCCTCACAGCCAAATATTCTGGAGGACATCTCACTTCTTAGTAATGACATGGAGGAGAGAGGATCGACGGGGAGGGGACGCTCGCCCCAGGACATGAGTGAGGACACACTAAGTACGAGCTACTCTCACCTTTTAAATCGAATTATAAAATATTGGAATATTTGACAATTATGCTTTACAGAAATAAGATGGAGATGGAACAAAACAGTGGTTATGGGATTCAGATGGGTCACACAGCACATGTCGCTGGAGTCAGTTAGGAATTGAACTGTTATTTCATCATGTCTGATGTGGAAGCTGTGAGGGAATAGAGCTGAAGAAGTGCATTTTCAAGAATGAGTTGAAGGGACGGTTTAAGTCTTTTGTGATAGATTTTGTGGAAATTTTATGAACAATCAATATCTAAAATATAATAATTTTTATTAAAATGTCTAACTTAAAAATGGTTTGGCCTTTTAGCTCAACAAACTTTAGTGAATTAGTTAAAGAAGGTTCAAGAAATCCTTGACTCCCCTGTGGAGCCACGTGGAGCTGCCTGAACTCCTGCTGGTACAAAGCCCCGCCTAGTTACACAAAGCTCCTCCCTGGAGCGCAGTCTGCAGCCGAGCTCCCACCCCACAGAGCACCCCTCTACTGAAGCACTGTTGTGATGATGTGCTGAAGTGGGAGTGTCCGAAACAGTAGGAGGTTCTTAAAGAAACTGAAGCCAATTTTACGGTGTTTAGGTAGAGACAATGATGCAACGTCAAATTTATTTTTGATATATGCAGTGTTTATATAAAAACTGAAGGTAACATATCTACTTGAATGGTATAGAAAATGAACTATGTGCCTCAAAAATACATAACACCCCCTTTAATAATACTTCACCTGTTCACAACTTTAAAATTCATTCAGTCCTTCAGAAAGCTACAAAATCAGGCAGAAGAGAATGCACAATTGCATATTTGTATTTTTCCTGTTCATTCAACAACAAAAATAAATAAATAAATAAACAGAGAGAGAGAGAGAGAGAGAGAGAGAGAGAGAGAGAGAGAGAGA